GCACACTGTGGATGCCCCTGGGTGGAGTAGTGTGTGTATGTGTGTGTGTGTGTGTGTGTTCGTGTGCGTGTGTGCATGCACACATATGTGTATGTACCCTGTACATGGAGAGAATCAGTGAGAGATGACGTGGAAGAAGAAGGCAATCTGGGACCAGAGTACTAACCAGTCTGCAGTGCTAACTTAAGAAATTTAGGCTTAATCCCTTATGATCCTCAAACATTTTGGTCTCATGACCTCTTTATACTCTTAAAAGAGGGCCTTTGTTTATATGGGCTATATCTACTAATATTTACTATGTGCTGTACTGTGCTTAGTTGCTCAGTCATGTCTGACTCTTTGTGACCCCATGGACTGTAGCCTGCCAGGCTCCTTTGTTCACGGGGATTCTCCAGGCAAGAATACTGGAGTGGGCTGCCATGCCCTCTTCCAGCGGATCTTCCCAACCCAAGGATCAAAGCCAGGTCTCTGGCATTGCAGGTGGATTCTTTACCATCTGAGCCACCAGGAAAGCCCATGAATACTGGAGTGGGTAGCCTATCCCTTCTCCAGGGGGTCTTCCTGACTCAGGAATTGAACCGGGGTCTCCTGCATTGTAGGCAGATTCTTTACCAGCTATTATAACTGAGAAACAAAAAATATTAACCCATTAAAATAACAATAAACTCACTACATGTTAATATATAACATTTTAAATAAAATACAACCATACTTTCTAAAACAAAAATATTATGAGAAGGGTACCATTGTTTTATATATTTTTAAATCTCCTTAAGATCTGGCTTATGAAAGACAGCTAGCTGGCTCTCACATCAGCTTCTGCATTTAATCTGTTGCAGTATGGCTGAAGAATATAAAGAAAATCTGACTTCATAGAGATAATATTGTTGGAAAAGGATGGCCTCACAGACTTCCTGGAAAAGTCTCAGGGGTCCCCAGAGCTTCCTGCACCACACTATGAGGACTGCTGTTCCTGGTAATGCAAAGCCATCGAAAGATCATCAGCGTGGACACGCTGCTGTTTGGTGGCAATGTGAGGGTGGATTAGAAGGAGGAGGGCTTAGATAAGGGCAGCAGGAAGGGAGACTATTAAAAGGGCTCAGGTAAGACCATAGGAAGCCCTTCTTTAAGCAGAGACAACGCAGATGCAGAGAAATGGATTCACAAGTTAACAGTCTGTGGGAACTGATATCCAAATGCATAACTTCAGGTATTCAGCACTGGAAATCCAGAAGAATGGTGATGATAAGGCATAAGCAGATCATTTCTGCTTTTAATTGGCCAAAGAGGCAAGATTGGATAAGCCAGAAAGAGAAATAATGTGAAAATTCAAGACCATTGACTCAAAGAGATCCAAATAAATGGACAGGCACTGGCAAACTTACCTGTTTAAACTGCTATTCTCAGTATGGCTTGAAACGACACTGAGGATTTCCCTGGTGGTCCAGTGGTTAAGAATCCACCTGCCAATGCTGGGAATTTGGGTTCAATCCTTGTTCTGGGCAGATTCCACATGCCACAGAACAACTAAGCCTGTGAGCCACAACTATTGAAGCCCACAGCCCTAGAGAGTCCATGCTCTGCAACTTGAGAGTAGCCTCTACTCACCACAACTAGAGAAGGCCCTCACACAGCAACAAAGACCCAGTGCAGCCAAAAATAAATAAATATTTAAAAAAACCACAACACTGACATAGCATTTGCCTTAAGAAAGTAAAATTAATTTTTTATTAATGCAAATAATCCCTGAAGGTTACAGAAAAGCTCCCAACTCTCCTTAGACAATGAAGCACACCTTGGCATTAGTTAATTTAGTCAGATTGTTTTCTTTCTTAATGAGCACAGGAGAGCTTCAGATCACAGATCACATTAGAGCAACTGGCCTAGTAGGTACCATGGTGGGGCTCTGGGTATACTATGGGATAAAAGGGAAAAGAGGGGGAGAATGTTAACTCTCTGTGGAAGATATTACTATCCGGATATTTTTAGTTTAAGAAGTGATTAGAGGGATTGTTACATGATTATTAAGAAGTGAATAAAGTCACTGGATAGCTGGTTGGCAAAAATTGTCAGTTAGCCCTGAAAAAACACAAAAGACAGTTTGCTCACTGTAAAGTAAATTTAGGGCTTTATGTCCAGTTGCAGAGATCAGATGAGAGGCAGATCATCCCAACAGAAATGAACTCTGTTCTCAAGCAGCCTCTCATTATGCCTCAAAGAGCCTGGAGAGTTGAGGAATATGGATTTTGGGGTGTGTGTGTGTCTGTGTGCATAATTTGAGTCTTGGACAGATGCAATCTCCATGGTCCAGGTAGAGGGCAGAAAAGTTGATACTTCTTACCTTTTAAATTCTACACATTAGGAACCCAAATCTACTACAGGAATTCTCTTTATCTTCCACCATCTGAGTAATAAGGCCCTGTGGACAGTTCTCTGGGTTGGGCAAAGGATTATTTTTTGTATGGTTGCACAGTTCAGTATATTCAAAGGATGCAATAAGCAAGATGTGCCAATAATACAGAGTATGATTTAAGAAATACAGATTCCTGTGTATAGAGCAAATGCTTAACTTACTAAACATCATTACTCCTTAACTCTGAGTAAGTATCCAAATGACTTTGATTTGAATAAATGTTGGTATATAAAAACACTTTCATAAGCTCAAAAGGATTGTCTTGGTCTTCTTAAAAATGAAGTAAATTTCCAGGACACAGCACCCAGGCAAAGACCAAATCTGTCACTTCAGAACTCAGCGCCTCCCCAGTAATGTCACATTCTTAAATGTTTGTGATGATGTTCCTTACTTTCCATTGTTACTTTAAAAAAAAAAAATTGTGACATGACCTGGGAAAGGCAGCCTTGATCACATCAACTCTCTCTTCTGTAGAATGAGATCAAAGTTCTACTTGCCATATAAGGTTTGTAAGGATTAAATCCTGTAAACATTTTTGTGAACCAAAAAGTCCCATGCAAATATTAGTAACAGTAGAGCTCCTAGGGAGGCGGTATCCTTTTCATGAAGACAGGATGGCCCAATAAGGGAACAGGCATTTATTTTAGGTCTTCTATATGCCATACTACCTCACTGGATACCATCTTATGTAGTGGGTGGTCACGTTCCGTTTTATATATGAGGTACATGGAAGGTAAGTCATGGTTATCCAGCTCATTAAGTCATTTTTTGTATAGGTCTTCTGTAACATCTTCTTAATCTCTTCTGCTTCTGCAAGGTCCTTATTGGTTCTGCTCTTTGGCATGCCCATTCTTGCATGAAATGTTCCCTGGATATCTCCAATTTTCTTGACTAAATCTCTAGTCTTTCCCATTCTACTGATTTCCTCTACTTCTTGGTATTGTTCATTTAAGAAGGCCTTCTTATCTCTCCTTGCTATTCTCTGGACTCTGCATTCAGTTGTGCATGTCTTTGCCTTTCTCCTTTACCTTTCACGTCTCTTCTTTCCTCAGGCAGTTGTAAAGCCTCTTTAGACACCACTTTACCTTCTTGCATTTCTTTTTCTCTGGAATGGTTTTGGTCACTGCCTCCTGTACAGTTTTACAAACCTCTGTCCATAGTTCTTGAGGTATTCTATCTACTAGGTCTAATTCCTTGAATCTATTTATCACCTCCACTGTATAATCATGACCTTATAATACTATGCAAACTTTGGGGCATACAATCAGCATAGGTGAATCCAACAAACCTTCTGCTGCCTTCTAAATCAATCCTGCTCTTTTTAATTTCTGGTTTCTTTTGTGTATAAAAAACTGCCTCACCTTCTTGAGTGTGTGTGTAATCCTATTTATCTTTCAAATGTTCCCTCTCTTATCAAGGCAGGATTAATCATTCCTTGATGACACTGCTAATTCAATCCATAAAGCCCTTTCTCTAATAAGCAAGCTTATCATTAAAAAAAAAAAAAAGGCAACAAACCCTATAAAATATATGGAGAAAAAACATGAGAGAGTCCCTATAACTCTTGGTGACGTTCCACCAGGCTGAAATCAGGCTGACGTGATCTGTGTTTCAGGGATTAGAATTTAATAGCAAAAATGAGTCAGTTAAAACACCCAGTAAGAATGCTGTCTGTAGACGAAGTGCTTTGCACTGGGGACACAACATAACCTGAATTGCTAAATTCTAAGGGCTGACTGGTGATTTGCATCCCAATCTCTTTTCATGCTATTTTCTTGGCAAAAGTTAAGAAGGAGCACTCAGCCTAGGAAAGATAGGTCCTCTATTTACCTCAGCAAGAAACAGCACAATGAATTTCAAGTTTTCCCAACTCAATGGCTTTGGTTTGACCTGGAGTGGGTAATGTCTGTTGTCCCAGATGTGTCAATCTGAACATCAAACCTACCAACTGGTGTTAGATTTTACATTCATTCAGTAACAATCCAGTCCCAAAGATTACACAGTCCCTATGTGACAATTGGCACTTTATGGTACAATCCACAAAACACATGAGCATTGTGCCAAGAAAATCATGATCCAACATTCACCATTCTACCACTAAACCTAAACAAATTACATTTCACCACTCATTGTTCAAGAACATATGGAACTATGCAAAACTATTCCAAGTACAGGCTGTATAGTCACTGAAGGGTAATAGGTTCTATGTGACTAAATCCTACAGCCTACCATTCCCTCTTCATGAAGAGTCCAGAGTGGATCATACCAGAACCCCTTTAAATTCTGCCACATAATCAAGAGTATTAATGCTTTTGATACTCATTTTCAAATTGACTATGCTTTAACATGCCAATTTAGAATAATCATATAAAAGTCTACAATAATTATGTACAGTAACTGATGCCTGAGGCAACAGAATGACTTGATGCTTGATACTCAAGTACTTAAATGAAGCAGAGGGAAAATGTACTGTTCTTTTTCACGAGCCAAACACTGGTCTTCCTCCAGAAGGTGTGTAAGCTTCTGGCACCAGTGAAATAATAACATTGGTCTATTCTAGGCCAGAAGAAAAGTGACATCAACTTACTTAACAGTTGGCAATAGAGGGCCTGTAAACTTCTCTTCATGGTATCATCTGGTCCTGCTTGTCCTCCAGTTTATTCATGATTCTGTCTAGGAAATTGGGAGAAGAAAATCATTACATCTGGGAGACAGAATTCAAGTCAGTAATAAGAAAGAACTCCATTCAATATGATCCTGGTGTTAAAGCCCAAAATACCTTATTTGAAGATAAAAATTCTTGGAGCAAATATACCACAGTACTGTCTATATTATAAAACTATCAATTAATCAATTAGATTTTGAAACTACACATCACTCATATGGGCACCTAGAGGGTGAGAATCTGGCCTTGGGATTTTGAAGACTTACAAAACACCTTCCCTGCATCTCTAGTTTTGAAACAGGAGAAACAAGGAACTCGTTTCTGCAGTCCTGTTCACCAAACAAAACACTCCCCTGAAAGCTTCACCAATTTCAAATTGCATTATATTAAACAATTTTTCTATTATTTTCTGATTACAAAAGATACCTCCAGTGTAGAATATCTGGAAAATGTAGCTAAACAAAATATAGTTAAGAATGGACAAGAAATTACAAATTACCTATCTCTTCAGCTTTTCCTGTGTGCACTTCTATTGGTCTATTTTGCTATACATTCTAATTTTTCTCCCTAGCAGTAGGAACATCTTCCTCTGTTATTATTACACTTTACTACATTTTTTTTTCTTTTGGCCACACCTCTTGGCTTATGGGATATTAGTTCTCTGACCAGGGTTTGAACTCAAGGCTCTCAGCAGTGAAACTGTGGAGTCCTAAGCACTGGACCACCAGGGAATTTGCATTTTACAACTTTATTCTAAATGGCACACAGTACTTTTTTCAAGATAAGTTCCTAGAAATGGAATCACTAGGACACAATCTAAGGCTCTTGAAATATATTGCTGAGATGCCCTTCACCAACACTACATTATGAAAATCTCCATTAGATTACAACCTACTTAATAAAGGAAACTTGTATTTTCTTACCATCATTGCCAAGCAAATAGGTACATATTTCATCTCATTGCTTTTGCATTTTACAGGTTTATTAGTTTTTAAAAAAATTGTAAATTCACATTTGGCAAAGATTCTCCAGTTAGGTGCTGAACCTTTTCCTGTAGACCTATCTGTGCACTTCCTTGTAAAACCGAGTGAAGGCAGCTCTTTTGCCCCTTTCCTATTTGCCCATTTCTCCTCCCCTTTTAATCTTTAAGGACTTCCCTGGTGGCTCAGATGGTAAAGCATCTGTCTACAGTGTGGGAGACCTGGGTTCGATCCCTGGATCAGGAAGATTCCCTGGAGAAGGAAATGGCAACCCACTCCAGTACACTTGCCTAGAAAATCCCATGGATGGAGGAGCCTGGTGCAGGCTACTGTCCATGGGGTCGCAAAGAGTCAGACACAACTGAGTGACTTCACTCACTTTCATCTTTAAAGAACTTAATGTAGGAATAAGATCATTAGGCAATTTAACCTAACTACTGACTTACACTCTCCTGAATGCACACCATGCCTTGTCTAACCTGTGAATTCTTCTATAAGATAAGAAGAAGTAAGAGTAAAGAGTTAACTAGTTAAAGAATGGTTAGCTCTCTACCTCACAATGGCCCCCTAAGGAATCCTGTAGGCAGATCAAGGGGGCAAGGTAATGTCTGGAGAGAGAGTCAGCCAGTCTGCACTCTGTAGAGATGATGCAGAACCCAACATCTTGCCTTGACAATTCTGACATTCTTTTCTCCATTTTTCCCTTTAAAAACTATCATGGCTGTGCAGAATCCTTGGAGTTGGTCTCTGGACATGAGTCCACCTCCTCCCCGAGGTTGCCAGATTTTCTCATTAAAGCATCTTTGCTTTCTACTGACACTTGCCTCTCGAATTATTGGCTTTTGAGTGGTGAGCAGCCAAACCTGAATTCGGTAACACTGGTTTTAGCAAGAACCCTGCCAAATCAGTTTAACCAGAACCCCAAACCCTCAATATCTGATCAGATTTACTCTACCATCCTGCCTTCAGCATAACCCTGTTAGGTCAGTTTAGCCAAACCCCTTACCCTGGTGCTTCCTCTTAGTAATTTTCCATCCAGTGACTCCCATTCTGCTCCTTGGCTATCTATTCCCACTTGACCATGCTTTATTCAGGGTGGAGCCCAATCTCTCACCCTTACTGTAAAATGTCATTACAATGGTCCCTGCATCCATTCATATCGCCCTGAACAAAGTATGCCTCGCCACCTTTAACAAATGTCACTGATTATTTTTTAAAGACATTCCTTAACCATTCTCTACTGGCATGCTGTTTTTTTTTTCCTTACAATACCCCAAGTAGAACTGATCTATCTTTAAGTTTTTTTCTCAAATATAATTAATGTATCATAAAATTCAGCCTTTAAAGTAGACAATTCAGTGGTTACTAGCATATTAAAAGTCATGCAACCATCACCAATACCTAATTCCAGAACATTTTCATCACTCTAAAAAGAAATTCCCATGTTTATTAGCAGTTATTTCCTAACATCCTCTCTTTCCAGTCCCTGCCAACCACTAATCTACTGTGCTATGGATTTGCCAATTCTGTACCGTTCACATAGAATATATGGCCTTTTGTGCCTGGCTCTTTCAATTAGCATAGTGTTTTTAAGGTTCATTCATGTTGTGAAGCACACTGTTGTTTTCTTATTTTTTTGTAAGAATGATGCATACACATACATACACACATATACACAAAACCATGGTTAGAAATGCCTTCCTTACTTAATTAAGGAGTACATAAAAAGTTATAAATAGTTGCCTATATTTTCTTATGCTATTTTTTTTTATTTCATTTAGATATGTTTCTGAACTTTGTGTTATGTTTTACTTCTCTGTCTGCTCATTCTCCCACTAAACAATATGTGTTGTTTAAATAAAATTCTTAGTAGAACTAGTTCTGCATTACTGTGCCTTTTAGAGACCCAGGTTCGATCCCTGGGTCGACAAGATCCCTTGGAGTAGGAAATGGCAACCCACTCCAGTATTCTTGCCTGGAGAATTCCATGGACAGAGGAGCCTGGTGGGCTCCAGTCTATGGGGCTGCAAAGAGTTGGACACGAATGAGCACATATGGATGGACGTTGTTCTTTGAACTTGTTCTCCCCCCAAATTAACTTTAAGATAATTTTATTAAATTTCAGAAAAAAAAATCATTGGGATTACAGTCAAAATTATCTTCTATTTGTTTATTAATCTGGGAGAGACCTGATATCATCAAAATCTAAGTGTACTGAGGGAATTAAATTTTTTAAGGATTGTAGCTCTGGAGATCAGAAGAATCCCTTATAGAGGAAGAGAAGAGCTCTTGTTTTGCGGGGTGGGGTAGAGGGTGGGGGAACAATAGCTCAATGACTTCTTTGGCTAACCTACCCCCAGTGTGATCTAGTTGAGTAAGAGGGAGAGAAAGAGTTAAATTGCTCTCCATTATAATATAAGAGGGGGCTTCCCTAGTGGTTCAGTTGGTAAAGAATCTGCCTGCAATGCAGGAGACCCAGGTTCAATCCCTGGGTTGGGAAGATCTCCTGGAGAAGGAAATGGCAACCCACTCCAGTACTCTTGCCTAGAGAATTCCATGGACAGAGGAGCCAAGCAGGCTACATGACTGTGTGACTAATTTTAACTTTTGACTTTGATAATATAAGAGGAGGTTTGAGTTCCCAAAGGCTAGAAAAGAGGGATTGAGTGGTCAAGAAGTCAGAGAGGCTGAGGAGATAATAATCAGGAGATACTGTGAGGCAGAATAGGCAATTCCAAAAGACAGCAGCAGGTGAGACACAAAAATAAAGGATAGAGTGAGAAATTCCCCACAAACTTTAATATGTGTAATATTTAATTTCTCATTGCTTCTTGTTTTATGCTATTTGTATTTAGACACCACATCTGTCCTCCTTCTCTCTCCCACAACACTTATCCACCACTAGGACCCTCAAAAACCTCAGAAAGTCTTGCACAAAACAGCCTTGTGTTAGCGATGCTTAGCTGGGCAATGAAAGAGACTATGTCTTAAGGCAAGAGTGACTGGAAATGGAGATAGGAGCCACAAGGACTATAAGCAATGATTGGTAGGCATCTTCAGAGTGTTCAGAACCCGGTAAGCATGCAACAAATGTGCTGTGAATACAGAAATAAATGAAAGAATAAATGAATAATCAAGTAATAGGAGAACAGAAATATTTGTAGTTGATGTTGATCAAGAGGAACATAAACCCCTCAATCATCTCTGGAAATGCTTGGAGATTTTCAAGAAACCATTAGACTTGTCATGATAGATGGAATAGAATCATGTGACTCGAATATCAAAGAAACAACTGAGCACATAAATATGGGACACTGGAGATCCTCTGGGTTACCCAGGGCTATTCTAATTACAAGCACCATATGGCCTACTATTTATTCAAAATTAATCTTTAGGTCTTTCTGTGGAGTTTTGTAATGTTTTTCCTTCATTTAAGTTCTACAGTCTTGTCGGGTTAATCCCTAGGCATTTTACACCTATATGTACTTTTGCCACAGTGATGGAATTTCCATTTCCATTATATTTTCTAAATCGCTTCTATATGGAAATGATTGAGTTTGTATATTTACTTTGTGACCTAACTGAACTCACTTAGAGTTCTAATGATGGTTTCTCAGCTGAGTCTCTTGGGTCACTTGCGCTCCTTTGGCTGGATGGAGAGGCATGGTAAGATTCCATCAAAAGCCTCTTTTTAACTGTATTAATTGTATTAATCATATTAACCATTAACTGTATTAATATTGTGTCTTGTCCCTCAGGGAATAATTTAGGAGCTCCAATGATGACAGCTAATTTCTAGGGTGAAATTCTAAGAATGTAGAGAGTTTTATAGCCAAAAGGCTGAAGAAAATAAAAATGACAGGAGAAAGATGAAAACACTTGACCAAACATGCAGAGACAGTGACACAGGTGGGGATCTGGCTGATCATTAGCTCAGGGGAAATGAGAGGGTGCAAGTAACCTGAATCACTCCTTAATAAGT